TAACTCGGTGTACTCTCAGCAATAACCAATACAAAGGTGCCACCGTGGCCAAAGAAGATGGAAGAGAGGAGGAAGAAGAAGGAGGGCAGGACACACCCCAATTCCTCCATCTTACTCCTCTAAACCCCCCTGTACATAAATCCTAAACCCTGTTTCTCACCCTCTAATTAGCTAATCTTTCCACCCTTCACCCTGTGAAGCCCTCATCCTTGTCGTCTCCTGTGTAGGGTTAAAGTCCAGCTACCAGACACTTCTGGCAACATTCCAGGAGTCCCGAGCCCCCCCAAGGGGTCTCGGTGGCTCAGCAACTCAGGACTGAGATCTTGAGATCCGACAGTCTTCTGGTAAAGCGCTGTGAAGATGAGCACCTCTACAGTTCCACTGGAGTCTCACAGGCTGAGAGAGCTGGGCTTGTTCAGCCCAAGAAGTGATGTCTGAAAGGGGCCCTCATCAATTTTTTATCTGAAGGGAGGGTGCTGACAGGATAGAGCCAGGCTCTTCTCAGTGGTGCCAAGAGCTAGGACATGAGGCAATGGGCAGAAATCGATGCACAGGAAATTCCATCTGATTATTGCTGTGGTGTGTTCTTAAGTTTGTTAGTTTGCTCCCCCCATTTTCTGTATTACTTCCTGCTGCTACCCTGCCAGTTAGGTTGCTATGGAAATGAAATTGCTCCTCCCTTGGTTTCTCTTATAAAGTGAAAGTTGTTTCCTCCTTGGGGTCAGTCAATCACTCTTTTTCTCCTCCCAGGTTTCGAGAATTTTCTTTTCTCTGGGAGGTATGGTTGGCTGTAGCCCCGGAGCCCCTCCTATGATTTATAACAGTTGGTTACTTTAGTATATCAGTTATGTTTCGTACCTCCAAATATGTATTTCTATTGGATAGCCGGGTTTCCCTGCTCTCTTCCCCCCTTTTCCCTTAAAACCCTCTCCTGCCCCTTGTTCGGGGCCATTTGCTGGGTGTTTCCCCTCCTTGTTGGTTCTTCTGTAATAAACCGACAGTTTACCCCCAGCAAGTGGTCGCCTCCTAATTCGTCTCTCACCGCGCTGCTCCGAGCTATCCCCCAGCTCAGCCCGAGGCCAAAAGACGCCGAGGGGGGCTGTTTTCTGATGCGCAGGGGCCCTGGCCTTCGCCCCTCACCAGATAGCCGTATTCCAGGGCCGTTCACGCCCCCGCGCAGATTATGAAGAGGAACTTCACTGTGCTGTTACCATGCACTGGAACAGATTACCCAGAGAGGTTGTGGAGTCTGTCGTACTGGAGATATCAAGAACCATCTGGATGCAATCCTCTGTTATGTCCTCTAGGATGACTCTGCTTGAGCAGGGAGAATGGATCAGGTGACCCACTGTGGGCCTTTCCTACCTTACCCAGTCCTTGATTTGGTGATTCTGAGCCCCAGCCACATGTGAGAGACACACAATTCCTTGAGGGCACTGCTGGAAGAGCTGATGAGCAAAACCAGCCTGGAACTCCCAAACTGGAGGCTTTGCTAGGAAAGAGGGATGTTAATGGTTGAGGGCGAAAGCAGCCAGCTGGCATGTCTGCTGCCTCACCAGAGAAAAGAGGATTATATATTACTTATAGCTGGCCTCTAGGGAATGGACACTGTATTTTATCTTTATTGGTATTTCTCTATTCAGCACAAATTTTGGTTTATTAAGCAGCTGTTCACAAGTGAGGAAAATTACTCCAGTGAGTGTCAGAAAGTTTCATTTAATTTTCTTAAATTTTTGTCTGGGAAGTCAAAATTTATTAATGGTGATTTATTAATGACCTCTTGACTTTTGAAACCAGTCCTTGTTTTCAATCAAGTCCTAGCCATAGGGTTTACTTACAGGGAAAATGCACGCCAAGTCCTATTTCTCTGAAAACAACAGAAATTAGTAACTTTATGGGTCAGAAATGTCCAATTCTGCAATTCTGTTGAGGCTTTTGTTCAGAAACTGCTGCCTCTGCTGCCTTCAGGGTTTTTCATGCCCATCTCTCTCTAACCCTGCAGAAAGCATAAAGTGCCTGAAACCCCCAAACCCCCTTTCTTGGCCTGCAGCTATGGGGGTACCTTCTTCCTCAACCAGTACTTTAGTCTAAGGCACCCTGGTTATTGGGAATACATGGAAATGAAAAGGTCAGGTGACATAGACTGTGGAAAACTGCCTGAAAAGGAAAGATCATTATCCTAAGGGGAATTAGACAAGTAGGATTACAGTGGATAAAAGCCTCAAGTCAGGATTGCTGCAAAATGCAGTCTTTGCTGTATTTGTCCTTGCTTTGCCTTGACTTTCCATGATTCCCTGGTGAGCAAGAGAGGGAACTGATGCAGCTGAAAGACACTCAGGAGGCAAATTCCAGCCTTATGGAAAGAACGATGCAGGAGTGGGAACAAGGAGGGCTGAGGGCAAGTTTGCTCCCTTCAGTGAGAGTGCCACTGTTTAGCAACTTTAAGGATTAAATAAATAACCTGAGATGAAGGCCAGAGACCCAGTCACCTTGCTTTGTTGCTGTGTGGCAGAAATATGCTGATATTCTGCTCTCTTCTCCTCATTCCCAGTCCTGCTCTTCACATCCTATCCCCTCTGTGTCCTTCTGTAAGAGTGTGTTTGTGATCATGATTGTTTCCCAGTCTAGTACTATCCTCTGTCATCTAGTCAGCAAAAAAAAACCAACAAAAGTCACCTTTATGATTGCAGTGCCTCTGACCAAGCAGATGGAGGTAACTGGAAATTCCCCTCCTTCTATAGTGGTCAACTCCTGGCACAGTTAAGGGACTTCATGCTCTCAGGGCAGGGGAAGGCTTTCTCTGCCAGACACTGGCTCTCACAAAGCAAGACAAGTGGTAGACATAAAGTTTGCATAGACAGTCCCATAAAAAGCATGACTTGGTGCTGGATAACATCAGCAACTTAAAACATGTGATTATTGGACCCCCTAATTAGCTTGTTATCGTGCTGAGTTAGTATTAACATCATTAGCCGCAAATTTTATCAGGGGAAAAAAGCCACTACTATTTTTGTGATGCTATGGTGCAGGCTACTGTGAAAATTTGCATTTTTAGGAATTAAATTACTTATGATTTTAACAGATGGACGAACAAGATTTGTTGGTCTGTATAGTTGGGAGGTACTGTTTTTAAAGTCATGTTTTATGTTTCATTCCAAATGCGGATATAAAACACTTCTAATAACGTGCATTTTTGTAGGAGGGACTTTACTTTTTCAGCACATAGTTATTTTGTTTGTTAATACCTTTATCACAGTAGAAGGGTTATAATATGTTATAAAGCTATGCAGTGCCTACAGAATGCATGCAAGACATTTTCTTTAACCAACCATGTTGCTATGGGAGGAAAGAAAAATGTTATGCCAATTTCCATCCTCTCCCACCACAAGGAGAATATGATTTGTTTTATGTATCTTTAAAACAAACCTGCATAATAGCAGTTTATTGCTTTCCTAATGACACACAGTAATGAGTTAACTAGTAATGAGCTACACATTCAAGTTGATTCCCTCCATGTTTTGAAAGTAGTTCCCCAACAACTGTTGAATCTGGCTGGTAGTTGTCATCCTTTTTACTGTGATCCTTTGAGAACAAACTCCTTCTTGGACAGATTTTTCTCAGGTACACACATACTGCAAGCTCTCACATTTCTTTCTTAACAAATGTGGTCCAGGCTGTTTGCCAAGGGTGAGCCATGAGAGCTGCCCAACACCTCACTTGAGTTATGAACTTCAGTGATTTCCACCTTTTGGTGCTGTGCAGCATGACTCATACTCTGACCTGAAAATACCTTTTTATGATCAAATATCCTGATAGATATAAAGGACCTTGAAGCAAGAAGGAAGGAAGACAAGGTAGAAAGACTATAGAAGAGATGGGATCCCATAAAGCAGTCATCTTGGTGGGACCAAAAGCAATGAGCACAGCAATGAGATTGCACAAGTACAACAAGATCAACCAATTGTTATTTTATTGCTATTTGATGTACAAGAGATGTTGAAGGTGAAGCAAAAAGGAATGGAAAGGTCCACAAGGGTGAAAAGGTGGATTTCAACAGCATCATGAGGAGAGACTCTCATGGAAATTGATCAGCTGATAACCTCTAATTACTGAAATGATTAAATTATTATCCCACTAACTCTAGATGAAAAATGTAACCTTATGCAGATGGCAAGAAGAATAAAGATGTAATAGCCATTGATGTCTTGCATTAGAGGAGTTGAGATTTATATTCTTTTTTAGGGATAGGTATGAAGCAGCTGAGCTATGAAAGTCTCAATGTCTTTGATGGAAATATTTTACCGAGTTTTTCATCTTTTTTAGTGGAATTTATTTCTGTCCTCAGAGACAGCAAATGGCAATGCCTCACTGAGGTGTAATATGCTTTTTAGCTACACTGGGTCTATTAGCTTTTTCCATCCCTCCAATCCAAGCAGCAACATTTTCATTCCTTCCATCAGTACAGGGTACAAAATTTATAGAATTGCTTTCAAGCTAAACACACTGTAACTACTTATAAACTCCATAAATGCACAAAATCAACATAAGATTTACAAAAAACCATTGCTACCTTGGATACCTAAGATATTTGTCTTTTGAAGAGAAGACAAATGTCTTGGGTATCCAAGGTCTTTTTTGGATCATTCTTTCTGAATGATCTAAAAAAATTTGTCCTGACTGTAAAATATTACTTTTAATTGAAAAAAATTGTGAATAATAATACAGGCTTTTGTTTGAACTTGCAATGTCCATTTCAGTAATAGTGTATAATTTTTAAGACATATTTTCATAAAGTGAGAAATATAAAATTCTTTTCTGCTGCAGTGATACCATCTCAAAAAGTGATTCTGAGAAAATATTTTAAGAAATAACTATCTATCACTGATTTAGTTTTAAATAGCTGGTTTAGTAGTTCAATTCACTTAGAAAGTTACTCTTAACAGTAAAGAAACAGACCTACTCAGGAAGAGCAATATCTTCCCTGATATTTTATGAGAGCTTGTGGGAAATAAATATGAAATGTATGGGAAAATGATATAGATCTTTAAGTTTCAAAAATCTGTACCTTAGTCTATATAAACCAGCTTCCTTATTTGTGTTTCTACATTGCAATTCTCAAGTCTCCTCCTAGTGCCTTTGACTTCGCAAATCTTGAAGTAAAAGCAGTAAGAAAGAAGAGCCCATGGCCTTTCTTTCCTCTTCTCCAGGTCCATCCACAACTCACTGGGTAGCCCCATGAGGAAATTGCTGAGGTCACCTTCCTGTTTACTAGCTGAGACCCTGGGGGCAGTTTGTTCCATTACTTCAGGAAGCTGACATGCAAAGCCCTGTGCGGGTGTGTTGTACCGTTTCCAGAGCATACCCTCAACTTGCTGAGGAGCGAGTTTGCCATGTCTGTCCATCACTGTCCTATCCCAGGTCCTGCACATGCTGCAGGAGGCTGATGCTAGCAGCAAAACAACTTCCTGTGGAGCATCCCCACATTTTGCTTGAAGAAGCTGCTTCCGCTCAGCACGAATGACAGCAGGTCCAGACAGCTCAGGGCAGTCAGGCTCAAAAAAACCTCATTGTAGCTTTCTAACTGGTTAAAATCACTCACATACTCTATGTAGTAGGCCCTGAACAGGTGATAGGGAAGGAACCAAATTATAATGATCCAGATGAAAATCAAGTTTTTCACCTGGGCCCAGAATTCTTGGTGTGAACAGAGGGAGGTGGAAAATTTTCTTGCCACTTTTACCAGGATAAAAATCTGCAAGCTCAAGAGGACACAAGAAATGAGGGCAACAGCTACAATTAGGGTGTAGTTCAGGGCTTTCACACTTTTGTGCTTTAGCTCTTTTTGGAACTGGAAGCATGTTGTATTTTCGTACGTGCCTGAGCTTCCGTACTCAAAGTAGAAGAGCGGCACCCCAAAGACCATGACGAAGAGCCACACGGCAGCGCTCGCCCCAATGGCGTGCAGCTTCCTGTAAAACTCCACCTTGTCCTTCCACTGAAAGAAGACGAGCCACCGGATCACCAGCGTGATCACATAGAATATGAAGGTCAGGTACATGTGGATGTGCACCATGGCACTCACCATCTTGCAAAATGGCATGTCAAATACCCACTTCTTTTTGACATAGTAGTGCAGGCGGAAGGGCACCGTGAAGAGGAGGAGGCTGTGCACAACCACCAGGTTAATGATGGCAGTCGTGGTCACAGACAGAGTGTTCATCTTGAGCAGCACAAAGGACATTGTGATGGACCCAATTCCACCTCCAGCCAAGGCAACCGAGTAGACAGTGACCAGGATGGCACTCATGGTGTTGGTGTGAACGAAGGCGGAGGAGGAGTCGCTGCTGTTCCTGGTCCCTTCAGTCATGTTCCTGAAATCTTCCTGGAACATATTCTGGAAACGGAAGAATACAGGATGACTAAGACAAGGTAGGAATGAGATGGCCTGCCTAAAAAGCCAGAAGGACTTCCCACCTGTCTCTTGCTCAAGGAATAATCCAGAAATCTCACAGATGGCATCAGTAACTACAACATGTACTTTTATCTAAATATCCTCCAGCCTAAGGAAAAATAGATGAGAAGGTTGGGCAGAGAACTGCTGTAGTCCTTATGACATTTCTAGCCATACTCCTAAAAACAAGCATGAATCAATAATATATGGGAAGAAATTATCCTTAGAGAAACTACATCATTGTGGTGATTTTGTGCTGTGCTATTTTTTCTTCTCTCTTCTGAGCATCTGCATGCTTTTACAGTAAAGATCAGAGATATTGTTTTAATTCTGCTACTCATTCATCAGTTTGTTTACTTGCAACACAAATCTGTCCTTCCTAGGGCCAGATAACAACCATATGTTGTTCTATCTGAGATACAAATTCTGTTTGTTACTGAGAGCTGAGTTTTGAACACATTACAGTCAACTTCTCTATGGACAGTTTTTCTGAGCAAGGGATTAAACACCATGGATACCCAGACTCCATGGAAATCCTGCTTAGATCCTGCCAGGCCAAGAAATGTGGGCAGTACTGTCCTTACTCTCAGGCCATTTCAAATCTTAGGTGTAGCAACTGGGTGTTACAAAATGGGCTGCTAGAAAACATTAGGAAAGGACATCCTGGGTGAGGGTAAATCATCCTGTCTGACCAAAGCAGAAGCTAGATGCAAGTAAATAGCAAGTTTAAAAAGTGTGCTATACAATTTCAATATATTACTGTCTAAAAGAGAGAGTGGAAATAAATTCTTATAAATCTAAATGCAGTCCCAGTTAGGATTTTAAGTACTACAAGATCAAATAGGAGGGGAAGAGTTCAGGTAGGGTGTTATCCTGAAGCATATTTGCATCTGTAAAAATGCCCAGGGGATGTTCACATTACAGTTACAGAAAAGAAGCAGGGAAAACTGAACAGTGTTGGGCCCCATACTAACGCAGTTGTACTGCTACTGCTGCCTGAGCTGTGATTTAAAACTGACTCTGCTAAGTCATCCATTTTACCAGTGAATCCCACAGTACAAGAAATTCTCTCCTGAGTTTTTGTGATTTTTTATTTAATACTCAAATGCTTTTCACTTTAGAAAGTAGTTCCTCAATCTCTTTGTATGAATGATGTTTCAGCTTTATTTTCATTTTGTTAGGCAGCACAAACTGCCAAAAGTCAGGAGGGGAAAAAGTTTTCTAGCAGTCCACTCATTTTATGGAAAAGAGGACATGTCTATAACAGTTTCATAAACTGTTTTTGTTCACAGGGGAGAATGAATATCTGTTATGCACCTCAGGTGTTTTGTGCTGTTTCTTAGCAATATTTCTAAGCACTTACCCTCACAGTAATCAAGGTCTCTTCATACATTGAAAAGTTATTCTCTAGCTCTCCCAATGCACCTAAGACTCCAGATATCTTATTATAATCAGTATAAGTGCCATATCTCAAACTGATGCATTGATTGCTGGCATTACCGACCTTTCGTGGTTGCTCTTGCATTTCAGAGTTATGTGGACAACTAATTCCAGTGCATTAAGGGAATTACAATGGGTTGTTTGTTTTATCAAAGTCACTGCAGATTGGCACACTGCAGCTCTTGCATCAGAAATGGTGCAAGTTCCTTTCAGTTCTGTCCTCGTTTCTGAGTCACTTCATTTCATCCTCACAACCATGCAAGTCAGAAAGGATTAGCAAGAGCTCTTCATCGGTTTCTCCAAGTTGTTAAACTTCAGTTTGAAAAGATGTCTCTAAAAAGAGGCATTATCACACTGTTTTGATTTAAAACGCATATTTCAAGCTTTAAACTTTTTTAAAAGTGTCACAGAGGGAAAGGCAACACACTGGAAATGTGGCTTGGTATGAGCAGACCCCGCAGCAAGGCTGCACTTGGAGAGGAAGAACCTCTTGTTGACACCCTTCAGAGGCCAGCAGTGAAACTTGAACTGAAGGCAGTAAGAACAGATAGGCAGAAGTCAGATACCTGATATTTTACTCAGACATTTCAGTGCAGCGGGCAGCAAGAGACCTATTTCTGTCTGCAAATAGGCAACTGAGTCACAGAAATGCAGGTTTCTGTAGAATTCTGCAGTCGTTGTTAAATCTCTGCATAGTAAGAGTCTGCAGGAGATGTAATTTTCATTAATCTTCAAAAAAATAAAGCTACTAGCAGCTGTGATAGGAGATTATCAGCTCCCCAGTAGCACAGGCACCCCACTGAAATATCGTTGCTTGATGAATACTGAGTGTAACATAACACAGGGCATGTTTCACAGAGGAAATGCTGCTTTCTGGTGAAGTGAGGTTTCCTATCATACAAAGCTATAACCTACTGACCTGAAATGCAGCTTACAAGTCCCTTTGCCAGAATTTAGCAGGAGGCACATGGAAAAAGAATTAATGTGGACCTCACACGACACAGCTGTTCTTGTTTCTGTGCCTTCCCACCCCCTCTAGCACCTGCCAGTTCAGTGATATTGCTCAAGTCTTGGAGCCAGGTTTGGTCTTCCTCTGTGTTAGGCCTCTCATGATGTGGCTGAAGTTCTGCTGGACATGAGCCTCGAGCAGCCACAAGGCAATAGCGGGCATCACTTCATTTGGATGCCACAGCAGCTGCTGGCGACGAGGGCTGGGGGACAGTTGCAAGAATAGCCGGTTTAGTCTGACAAAGGAGGTATGTTGCCAACAGGCCAGATGCTAGTTTCTTTCAGAAATATGATCAGCAAAAAGATTCTTGTGCATTCAAGTCAGTGTGGATAATGCCATGACACTCATTTCATGTGACTGTGCAGCACAGTCTGTGACATTTCCCTGGACTGCTCTCTTCAGGACAGGAAAAGCCATAGTGCTCAGTCCCTGTCTGTATCCAAGGCCAGGTTGGATGGGAATTCGAACAACCTGGTCTAGTGGAACATGTCCCTTCCCAAACAGGTCTGTTGGAACTAGATGATCTTGAAGGCCTCTTTCATTCCAAATTATTGTGTGAGCCTATGATTTCTGTAAACAATTTGATCTCTGTTAGAAATTCTCCAGGTAAGAAATATTCATTCCAACCTTCAGGAACTTGTTTATCTTTTATCTTACTGTTATCTATCTTACTATTTAAAAAGAAAAAAGTAAAAAAGAAAAAAAAAAGTTTAACCATATTTCTGGACAGAATTTGTACAACCTCAGCTTCCTGGCATTTTATGTGCTTCTGCCTCTGTCTTCAGATTTAGAAACCTTTTGTCAAATTTTGCCTTCCTTTGTAGATACCTGATATGAGACAGAAGAGGCTTATTCTCCCTTTATCCCAGCCATACCTGTGGCTCCTCAGTGAACTGGCATTACATTTGTACTTAGTTCTTAGACGAACAACTTTGCATTTGGCAGGGGTAAAATGCTTATTCTAGTTTGTGCCTGATTTAGCAATCCAGATCAGCCTGTCACTGGCTTGTTCCCTTCATTCCATGCTATTTTCCCAACCAAGTCCATGAGTCACCATTATGTTACATCAACATTATATCAACTTATTAAAAAAACCACTCATTTGTCAGAAATGATGACATTCTTACAGTCTCTGTCAAACAGTGAGCTCTACTCTGTATAACAAGTGTTTGCAAAATTTATCCCCCCATACACGTCTGCTGAGAGACTGGCAGGCTTCACACAGATTTTCATGTGTTCTGACAGTTGGGTTCTGCAGGAGAAGCATTTGCTGTCTGCATGCACCCAACTGAGAAGTTTCATTTGAATTTGGAGGAGAAAAAAGTTCAACTCATATGAAAGATTTCTATTTTCGACAGGTTTAATAAATTGAAAAATGAGTGTTTGTCAGAACTGACATTCCTGCACTGAACTAGACTAGGTTGGAGGAAATGCAAAATACAAATAATTTCAAACAAAAGTCTGTTTAAAATCTGCAGATTTTAAAATCAAAGATTCTGTTTCACAGAATCCTTAATTAGTCTCAAAGATGTTTTCTGTTGAGGGCATTGTAATTGCATTTCAATTTGTTCTAATTCCATGCTGTGTTATGGTAACGTAGGCTATGCTACTAGAATAATTGCACAATTTCTTTAATTTCAAAATAACCACATACACCTGAAGTTTGAAGTATAAAAACCTGCTTAATAGAAAACACTAACAAAAAATAATATTAAATATCAGGTACATTTTTACATTTAGACATCGACTTTTTTCAAACAAATTTTCATGATTCCCCTAACTCATTTGGTAGCTCAACAGCTCATGTCTTGCAGGCTGTGTCAACATTATACTGATATCTTGTGGTTTCAATTCAGTCCATTGAAGAACAAATGGGATGGAAAAACACGTTAAGTTAGTCCTCTTTCATTTGAGATTGTCACTATTTTACACAAAAAAAAAAGGAAACCATGAAGTGTTCCTAAAAAGGATTATTTATCTCCTTAGCTGCATCTTAACAGAGAGAACAAACCCTTTATGTTCTTACAGACACTGAGTGATATCAAACACACACACAAAAAATGGATGAAAACAAAATGCACTGCCTCCCAGTTTTAGGAGACAGTGTAAAACTACAGGGTAGCAATATGGAAAAGAATGAAGAAATGCTGTCCCTTAGTAGGAAATTACCAAACACAATGAGAAAACATTTGCACAGAAATAAAAATAAAATAAAACAAATGCATTACTGAATGCTTCTCCTCCCTCCTAAACCTGCAAGCATTGTTTTAAAAACTTTGCAAAACAAGGCTTTTTGTTTTTCATTCTGTGTATACTTACAGATTAGAGTTTCTCTGCACTCTTCAAGTGTTGTTTACTTGGATCTTCATTCTATGTAAGCTCTAAGAACAAAAAGCAAAAGACCTGATACTTTAAAGAGTTATTGCCTTGCTTCCTTTTTTGAGCTTATGACAAAACAGTAAACTTGAGGCTATGCTGTGTGAGGGTAGGGCTGCCCATGGCACACAGCCTTGGGAAGATTTTTAGTTGCATCACAGCATCCTTTACCTTTCAGCTACTTCTTAGCCATTAGAGGTCTTCAAAGCCTCCCATTTCTGAAGAGGGCTTTATATTACTGGCTAAAATGATAAATTATACACACAGAAGTGAGTCTCACAGCTCACAAAGACTCATGTTTGGAAGGGTTGCTCCCCATAGTGGAGGGGATGATTTGAAGGTGTGCTTTGAGAAAATAGGGCAGCAGGACAAGAGCAAAACATGATCTAGATTGTAACTAAGTGTGGGTTTGGATGTGGTCAGAGATACCTAAGCGTAAGGGATGAAACAAAGCTCCCTCTAGAGCCCAGCACCATTTCTCAGCTCTGCTTTCTGCCAAGGTTTGAGCTCAGTGTCTGGATCTCAGGACATGGTGCCATCGCTTCAGCTGCACAGTGCCAGCAGAGGTGAACTAGGAGATTTAATCCAAAAAGTGGTTGGCCATGCCAGTGTCAAAGGCTCATCGAGCAATGATGGTTGCTGTGAGGTGTATGTGTGGTGAAAGATGTGTCATTGCAGGACTGAGTCTCTGTAAGGAGTCTGTGCAAGGTCAGTTTTGCCCTCCTGCTTCTTTAACACGTTTCTGTCAGAACACAGGGTTGTATTTGAGTGAAGCAATTTTGAAAGCAGTAGCACAGAAATAAAATTTTTAAATGTAACCTCACAGGAGAACGTTTTAGCTGACTGCATCCTGTTGCTTCACATTTGGTTAAAAAAATCACAAGGGAAGTCCTGCTCTGTGCTACTTCACAACAGACTGCTATGTGATGGAAATTGTCTTTTTGCATTTTGCAATTTTAACGGTGGCTGACAGCTAAAGAACTGTTTAGGTTATATTAAAAGAAGCTGGTCTCAAAACTCTGTTGAAGGGCATACAGATAAAAAGCTAAAAACTCCATGGCAAAGCCAGAACTAAAGCTGAGATATCCTTGAATCAAGAGTTATGCCTTTTCAAATTAGTAATTTTGTTTTAGCTCATTCTAGGTCTTTTTTAGAGTGAATACACATCCCAGTGGAAAGAAAGCTAAGGTATCTTTAAAACCTTCAGGTAGCTTCTTTTAAGTGGGTTTTTAAATTATAAAATTTAAAATTATACAATTATTGTAATTATACTATATTTTTGATACATAAAATAAGTTATGCATAGTTAAACATAAGTTAAAACATAAGTAATCTTATATTGATATATATTTTTGATGCAATATAATAATTACATAACATACAAGTTATATAATTTTGTCGATAAGTAACAATGTTGTTTCCTCAAGCAGTCAAAACAAAAAAAGAACTTTTCAGGTTGAATTCTTTCCACATGTTTGTAGTTGGCAAATCTTCAATCCTTTAATCCAGGATTAAACCAAATAGTGAAATACCAGAGTGTGATCTGGGACAGACACTCTCATTGCCTTTGTTGGTCTCTAATTTGTAGTTAGCATCAAGATCTAGATAGGTATAGAATGCTTAATATACATCATTGCAACTAATTTACCTGGTAAATTGATGTAATTTTGTCCAGGAATTACCAACAGCATGTGTAATGGATTCCAGACTGGTATGTTTAGATTTTCAGTTGTAATGCACTGAGCTGGTGGCAGAATGTGATTATTTCAGAGCATCACCGGTTTTAAACACTGATACTAGAAATGCATGTATTTTACAAGTTTTGAGTAATTGCTGGTAGTTTTAGCAATACCATAAAAATCCAGAAGTGTGATAGTGTGTTTTCATAGTACTGTTGTATCATGTGGATTCAACCATCACCCAGTTTGAGTTTGCATTACAGCAACAGTTTCAAGGGCCAAAGTTGTTTAATAATAGATGAGAGGCTAGGCCAGATTGCAAGGACTGCTTGCCCTGAACCTGATTAGCATCAAGGTGCCCCTACTCTGGATTTTGAGAGGTCCTTGAAGAAAGAGAACTGTGTCCTTCATGCTCAGGCAGAATAGATACTGTTAGTGATTTTTCAGCTGTTCTGAACTTAAAGCTGTACACAGAATTACCATGGCAACACAGGTGTTTTGTTTGTCTACATTTATTTTGCCAGGACTCAAGGATATGGAGGGCTAGCTCAGAAATGGACTAACACAGGGTGTCAGGATCTATGCAAGCATGGTGGTTGGGTCTTCTAGAAAAATATTCTTCTCCTTCACTTATTTAAGTGGCAGAAAGCAAAAAAATAAGATTCACCTGGATATCTTAAACTGACTGTGGGTAACCTGGCTCTTAGTTAGATGTGGGTAAAGCTTGAGTGATGGTTCTGACAGCACTGAACTGATGTGGATTACACAGAATCAGGGAGGACATAATTAATAATGATTTGTACTCCTTACAAAAACCCTGCTTTTTGATCTGCTGAGTCCCTCCTAGTGCCAGCTGTGGGCCTGGGGCTAGTAGGTAACACAGACTGATCAGTTATTAAGTTGCAATTGTGACAGGTTATTTGCAGTTTATTATTAAGTAAAAGATCAGCTGCTAATATGAAGAATGGAAAGGCAGTATGTAATTAGAGTAATTTATAGCTATTACCAACAAAATCCCATTTTTGACTTGTATTTCTACTATGCTTTACTATTTCAACCACCTGAATAGAAAGATATTAATTACCTACAAAGGGAAAAACATTCACTATTAGTTTCAGCCAAAAACATTTTATAGATAATGGGTTTCTTGAAATGTCTCTCCCTGGGTTCTGGAGCAGCTGTGATTTGTGGCTGTCACCCAGGCAGTGCAAGGCGTCCTATGAGTGAGAAATACTGCCTGTGACACATCTGAAAGAACATTTTGGAAAAGTACAGGGAGTAAATGTGACTTGAAATTCCTTGTTTCACACACCTTTGCATAGCAGAGCCATAAATTCAAGCTCCTCTGAAAAGTGGAAATAGACTTGGTGGCCTCCTCCTAGTTTTTTAACGGATTTAAGGGAAAAAAATACCCACTTTGAAAATTATCATTACTCAAATTTGCTTAAATGTACTGAGGAAAAGTGGCATGGAGAAAATCTGTTTCCCCTTCAGCCTATCTCACCACCTTTTCTTCCTACAGAAATGCCAAAATTGCACCATGTTGAAGTATAGCATATCAATAAAACCTCCTCAGATTTCTGTTCATGTCTTACCAGAATCCAGATCTTTCAGAAAAGTACTGAACACAAACCAAGACTTAAGTTCACATCAAAATCTGCTGTATTTCTTCTTTGATAGTGTGGGAGGGATCCCAGATCTAGAAACCAACTGTTCTAATACTAATAACACTAGCAATTTGCCCAACTTTTGCCATACCTTGTCTTTTCTATTGGACTCTGCTTTGGCCTCAGTGTTTGTCACCAAGTGCAGGAGGAGGAATGAGAACTGCATACAAAAGGTATAAAGGTATCTGTTCAGTCTCCAGTCTAAATTGATATTTTGAGGTGTCTTATTTATATTAAACAACAGCACACTACTAACAGTCTATCATCAACTTTAATATTACTTTTTTTTTTTTTAAGAATTTTACTAGTTCATATCTGTTGCAAGCCAGTAAGTTTTTCAGGGAATGTGCCTTTCATCAGGAATCCAGCTTGCGCAATTCACTCATTATGGGAGCTTGTTCTTACCAGGGTGAAAAAAAAAAGTGGAAGGAGGAGCTGATTGACAAGGAGATGTATTACTCCTACCATAAAGATGACATTAGACTGCAGAGAAAGAAATCATATATGCAGCACCATGCCAATTCTTTAAGCTTATATGCCTCTCTGAGAAGAAAAAACATCCTTTGCTTCATCTTGAAAACACAGTGCTCATCTTAAAATATTTTTGAACATGGTACTAACCTCAATAATTGCCTGCTGGGTTAGGCAGCATGCTGTAAGGAAGAATATATTTTTTAAAAGGATTTCAGCACAAGTCTATTGCTACTCAACCTCAAAATGTGTACTGCAACTACTGATAATGTTTTATTCCCAGATTGCTTATTTCATCTGATTTCTGACTGCAGAGGTAATGCCAACTTTATCATCAGGTGCATGGAAAAATTAATTTTACCAAAGATTACTTTCATGTTGAATGTACACATACAGATATTTATGAAATTTAATATACTGTGTTGTCTGAAGAACAAATCTCCCTGCATCAGTTTAGGAGCCTAGGAGCAGTACAGAAAGCAAAGCTTGCTGCCAACACTGATTGATAATGATTTCCTACCTTAGCATAAACACAAATAAATGCATTATGTTTCTGTTACAGTTGGGTTAGAGAGGAATTCAGGTTCCTCCTGTCATTTCAGAAAGGAGGAATTTACTGCAAGGGAATTTTTCCATGATGCATTCTCGAAGTATCCTGGTTTGCAAGAGCCTTTCCTTGATCAGCACAGCTACACTCTGCATGTTAGAGTGAGGTGCTGTGTGCACGCAAGTGCTCTGATACATCAAATTGTATGGGCTAAAATGGTTCATTTTGCTGTTAAATCTGGGGGTTTCCATTCTGAGCAATGATAACTTTAACTAAATTACAGTAAGATCTTCAGTGCATATGCCAAAGTGTGAAGCAAATTGTTTTGTCAATAAGCTCATTACTGATGCATTTTTTTTAAACTTTTGCCTATTTGAAGTTCAGTTGAAATATTTAAGGCGGCAGCTAGACAGCCCAGCCATAGGTGTAGAAACACTTATGGTAAGTGCTGCTATTCTGGGCTGTGGAACAATACCCACACCTGCCCTTTGTCCCACTGTCCTCCTAATATATTTTCTCCCCATTTCATTGACACAGGAATCCAAAGAAAATCTTGGGCAATGCTGCTTGTGGTCTTAATGATGTTTTGCCAGTCCAAATATTCTTATTTTGGAGTGCCCCATGCTGTGGTGTTGTGCTGGGT